CCACATATCCAAGTGGCCTGGGTCGCATTTGAAAAAATCCGATCTGTGTCGTTCAGACTGTCATAAAAAGATCAGATACAGGTCACATATGGGCAAAAAAATCGGAATTGGGTCACTTCAGGCTGCAGTGTGAACGTAGCCTTATATACATGATTAGGATTTGACATTTAAATATGATTTTCCTACGGCTTTAAGGTTTGTTTTTCTCTTTAAAACATAAATGGCTTCCTTCACACCCCTTTCAAACCACCTTTCTTCTTTGTCCAAAATGTGAACATTCTGGTCCTCAAATGAATGTCCCTTATCCTTAACGTGTAGATGGAAAGCAGTCTTGCTCGGAGGAAGTTGCTGTCCTGTGTTGAGCCATGCTTCTGTGGAGAGGTTGTTTTGTTTCTCCAATATAATACGATCAGTGCATTCCTCACTGCGCTGAACTGCAGACGCCGCTCCGCTCATCCTAGGTTTTGCCCTTAGGATGCACCAGCCTCTGTCTGTTTGGTTTGAATTGTACTGGGATTTTGCTTTTGGAGAAAATCCTCTTGAGTTTTTTCCAGAGACTCCAGCAACATATGGGATGGCGATAATTTTGCGTTTAATCTTCTCACCGTTATGATCTGCTGCATGTTTTTTGTATTTCCTTAATGATTTGACTCCCAGTTTGGGTATCAGGAAGTTTGCAGAGCATCTTTGATGTGTTTCTGTTCTTTGTGCTTCCCTTCTGTTTAAGTAGGGACATGCTCAGCTGGGAAAGCCTGACGCACAAACAAAAAAGAAAGCTTTCTGGATGGGAAGTAAAACGTCTTAAAAAAAAAAAAAAAGTCCAGTGGTTTGTTTTTAACTTTTTTTGGGATTCTGTTCAGTCCTTTTTGGACTGAGGTCATCTAATGGCCTTCACCCCCTGATTACCAATGCATATCCCTTGGTAAGACACACTGCTATAAAATCAGTGAAGAAAAAAAACTTTTCCCAAGAATCAATTTGACCGATTGAAACTGACAGCATGACATTTTTTCTCTAATTCAGCAAATGGTAATTGTATCACTCAATGACCCTTAGAAATAATGAATGTTTAATCCATAGATGGTCAGTTAAGCCTTTAAATATAAAAAATTCAACAAATAGACAATAACATCACAGAGGAAGTAGAGAACCCAGCGCTGAATCAGCCAAACACTGAGATTAACGCCACTGACCCATGTATGCACACATTATTTGAACAGAGGTGCATCAGACGTCAGGGATTTTAACATTAATATTTTCATACCGTGAAAGCCTGTCCTCGCTGGAATGGCATTATTCCCATTCGTTCCTCAGAGCCCCACTGCCCATGCTGCTTGGTGTTTCGGACCACCGTGTTCTCGTTGAAACGTGGATTATAATGCAGAGCGATTCCATACTGGTGGCTGAAGTTCACGTGGAACCTGGGAGGAAACAAAACATGAGACAGAGCATTTTTTAAACAAACAGGATTAAACTTTAAGCTAAAGTCTAATAAGATCAAATCATCAGCGATGGGGTGAGACATTAGGAGGCATTATGTCACTTTACAGACCAAAGAGTTTGATCCAAAGAGGCAGAGATTGATGTTCAGTTCATGGGCGGAGTTTTTGGGGGGGGGGCACTGCCCGGCTAGCTCATCATCGGATCTTGCGGAGCTGTCGTTGGGGTCAGTTAGCTTGCCTAGCAGCTGTACTACAGCACTGCTGTCCTAAGCAGCTTATTCTTCTGGATTTTCCTTGATGATTGTTTGGAAAGCATAAACGAGCCTTTTCCATGTACCACTACAACAAGTACTGTTGGCTTGAATACTCGGTTTACTCCCTTACTTTTGCACTAGGTAACTCTTCTTTAAATGAATACTCCTAGCAACTACATTGTACTGTATGCAGTAATGTAACAACTTGTGTTTAAAATTATCTAATCACTTCTGCCCTCTTTTGGGGTTGTAAACAACAGCAACCTGGCATATCGGGAAATTCAGAAGATGTTGGAGGCTGTTTTGGCCAATGTTAGGCTGCCAGGCATTTATGAGGGGATCTGCAGAGCTATCAACCCTCGGAGTGAGATGTTAAGGCAGCAGCCTGGCGGGATTGGGGCGCGATTGTTGTGGCGGAAGGTTCACAAGCAAGTTTGGTTCTGGCCGATTTGTTGGAAGGATCTAGCTAACCAGTTAGCAACTTAGTGCTAGTAGGTTCCCAATGGGAAATTCCATTGGGACCAAGTAGCACTAAATTGGTGACTTAGAAACGACACTGTCAAGGAACGCTATGGATCAATATGTATAATAATAATAATCTTTCTGATGTTTCCTCTATTTATAAGAGTTTGTTGTCGCCAAACAGTGAAAATTATTTGGTTATAAACTTTTGGCACCCTTTTGTTCAACCACTCTCACTAATAGTTATGCCAGTGTAGAGCAAACAGTGAAGTTACCAAGCTTGGTGGAAAGTGGCTAAGGTGATACCAATTTCGAATGGAGGACATGCAAAGGGGGTTTATTGCTTAAATGTTCTGCCATTAACTGGCAAATTAAAATAAACATTAAATTGTTTTTCATACAAGATATTTTTCTATATCGCAATAGTGTGAGTTATGCAGTTTAATTTTATTGTGGTTTAATTCCTTCTTTGAGGAGTTAAAGTCACCTTAAGCCCCTTTAACACATATAGCTTCCATTAATTTACTGGTTCTAAGTTACCAGGCTTAACAAGAATTAGCATATTTAATATGTAAACTGGTTCCAGTTAATAACCAGCTCAGCTCTTTCCACACTTAATTTGGCAATGATGTAGTGGTTCCACCTAATGCACGGGTCGGCAACCCAAACTGTTCACAGAGCCATATTGGACCAAAAAAACAAAATGCAAATGTTTATGGAGCCGCAAATATGTCAAGTTTTATATAAGCCTCGTATGGCAACATGGGCAGTAAGTGTATTAGACCACTATAAAAAAGGACTATCTGGGCCTTAATATATAATAAGCATTCAGGATTAAATGTTT